GCTGGGCTATTGTCGGCTGCGAGAAGGAAAGGATTCGCAGGCATTGTGATGGTTCTAGAGGATGCCGGTGATTCTGAACAGGCCTGTATATAGGACAAACGATTGTTTAGTGTCAAGCTCGAGACACGACCTAATACAACAACGCTCTTATGTGCAGATATTAGGAGGTTTTGGGTGAATGAGAGGGTGGTTCTGATGCGACCACTATCTAGATAGCTAGATCTTTTTTTTTTGGAGGGGTTCCTGGTGTGACACGACCAAAATACCTACCCCGCCAAATCCATGCAGAGGTGTGTCATAGGGCATTTAGCGGGGAATTACAGCTGCGAGGGATTGTGCTTGGGCCATGCCGCTTTTACAGTACCTACGTAGTAGTCTAGGTCTCACTTTCAACGCGTTACGCTGTAGCGGAGATGTTACTGCTTTTCTCTTTGACTTAGGTACCTATGTAGGTAAGCGGTCAAAACTTAAGACATAATAAACAATAATACTATAGAACTTTTTTTTTTGAGAATTAATGTTAAGGCAGTATGTTTTGGTCCTCACAAATTCTATATAAATGGGTAGCTTATTAGAAGGTAGCTACCTAGCCTAGGACTGAGACGGAGTAATCGTTAACATATCTAATTCCCTTCAAAAGCACTCACCATTTTCCACATCTATCTAACAAAGATACCCTTTCTACTCGCATATTATTCCATGGAGAGTCTAGGCTCCGAAATCTTGGTCCACTTATAGCCATTACGCTACCTAGAGTCTCTTATTCTCCTTGTCCTAGACATCGTAAAGCGATGTTTAGATCTTCTAAACACAAATGACACACTTACTGCTTGAACGAGCGGCTCACATAACGTAACCTATGTGTAAGATTTGAGAACATCCAGAACCACGGCCGGTAAGTACTAGTTTTAATGCTATAGACGTTAAATATAAGAATAGCTATGCAATTCCATTTGGATATCCAAAACAAGGAGATAATGGATTTTTATCTAGATATAATCCCTTATTCTAAGGCCTTGGTGATACGAGGTGCGTTACGTGATCCGTTACTAGGACTGTCTTAACATGTTTCCCTACCTTAGGAGGTAGGAAGGTAGCTCAAGTGACCATGTTAGGGTGAACCGAGTCTTCGCAAAAGCAGCAAGTACACTAAGCCAGATCTGTCGTAATTTAAGGTTGTTTCCAGTTTCCAGGTACCTACCTGTAGTTTCTCGCAAGGCGGTATCAGTATCGCCTTAGGAGAAAATATTATAGTTCTTTGGTTCTCCTACCCAACTCCCGTGGTTTGGTATTCGCAAAGCCCCTGTCAACTACTTCCTTACGAGGTAGGTAGGTACATACCCGCAGTTATCTACGTATAGGTAGTCCAGGCACATACCTAGGAACCCTATATGCGTTGTGCCTGCAGCACCTGTGCCGGTGACTCATGCGGGCAGTGAGAGCATCCCTAAACAAGAGGTTGTAGGTAGTCATTCTCTAGCTACCCTTTCTAGTCGCGTTCCTAGCTCTCACTATCTGCGCCCTGTACTATTTGTCTTGTTTAGCCTACCGCAAGCTTCACACAAATACATCACAGGAAACAATACGCATTTGTTTTTGGTCGTTTCGAGTTTTTTTTTTAATCCATTTCAAGGCGGTTCTGTCCTACCATTGAACCAGCACTCCCCCGCAAAGACAGATAAGGAACCAACAAGGACAACTAACTGACTAACTTGTTCCACGCTCACAGCTTGCCTCTTGGTTTTCCATCTCTCAAATCTAGCACTGCCAGTGGACTCATTGTTGGAGGTTCAACAGTTCTTCACGCTGGCTTGGCCTTGCAACCTAGCCTTCCACTTAGAACTATTCGTTTCTTCGGTTGTTCATATCACCGCTACCAGCTCATCATGAGTCTCCCTACGACCCCCTACCGTGAACAGGACCCTCAGCAGAACTCCCAGCTCGCTCGCGCTCTAGGTGACGGCAAAAAGAGTAATTTCAAGGTCAAAAAGACCACTTTCAAGATCGCTGGGTCGCCCGACGGCATTAGTGTCGACTCATGGCGCTTCCAAGACTGGGATTACAAAAAGAGCAATTTACCTACCTATGCCCGTGGCCTCTTCACCACCAGGAATCGCCGCAACGACTACGAGATCGCCGTGAGAGGATATGACAAATTCTTCAACGTCGACGAAGTTTCCAACACGAAGTGGGAGACCATCAAGCGCAGGACACGGGGCCCCTATGAGCTCACCTTGAAAGAGAATGGCTGCATTATATTTATTAGCGGCCTGGAAGATGGCACTCTCCTCGTTTGCAGCAAGCATTCAACTGGTGACCGCAGTGATGTTGAGGTGAGCCACGCCAGTGCTGGAGAGAAATGGGTAGACCAACAGTTGGCCACTATTGGCAAAACAAAAGAGGAGTTTGCTCAGGAGTTGCGGCGCAGGAATGTCACGGCAGTCGCTGAACTGTGCGACGATGACTTCGAGGAACATATTTTAGCTTATGGTCCGGACAAGGCCGGATTATATCTCCATGGCATGAACATTAACATTCCTGAGTTCATGACATATTCAAGCGATCTGGTCCAGCAATTCGCAGATGAGTGGGGATTCCGAAAGGTTGGCCTACAAGTCTTTGATGACGTCGACACCGTCAAGACTTTCCTTGAGCAGGTTGCCGAGTCTGGTGCACACGAGGGTCGAGACGTTGAAGGCTTTGTCATCCGATGCAAAATGTCGACCGATCGGGACCAGACGCAATATAACGACTGGTTCTTCAAATACAAGTTTGAAGAGCCATACCTGATGTACCGACAGTGGCGAGAATGCACTAAAGCACTTATTGCTGGAAAACCTCCCAAATTCAGGAAGCATAAAAAAATCACCGAAGAGTACTTACTTTTTGCTCGTCAAAGTCTGGCCAAGGACCCTAAATTAGCTAAGCTATACAACCAGAATCACGGCATCATTGCTCTCCGGGACGAGTTCCTCGCACATAAACATTTGAAGGGTTCCGACGCTGCTAATTTTGAGAATGTAGCCGGAGATGAAACCTCAAACGTATCGGGTGATGTTATCCTCGTACCAATTGCCACAATTGGATGCGGGAAAACTACTGTTGGTGTCGCCTTGACTCATCTATTCGGTTGGGGCATCATTCAAAACGACAATATCCAAGGCAAAGGCCGTCCCGCAAAAATGGTTCAGTCTGTTATGTCTCTTTTAAAGGAGCATGCCGTCGTAATTGCTGACCGGAATAATTCTGAACGACGGGAGCGAGAACAAATTATCAAGGATATTCTTTTGCAACACAAGGACGCTCGACTCGTTGCTCTCAACTTCGCTCACGGTGATATTGATGAAGTGAGAAGAGTTACAAGAGACCGGGTGCTGAAACGTGGCGACAATCATCAAACTATCCAGGCAGCGTCGGACGAGGGTAAGGTTATTGGTATCATGGATAACTTCCTATCCAGGTTTGAGCCTTGCGATCCGGAAAGCCGCCCTGACGATGGTTTCGACCTCGTTATCAACCTCGACCCTTGTCAGGAAAGCCGAGTGAACGTGGAGACAGCGGCTACTGAGCTCCACAAGAAATATCCGTTGTTGGTTCCGGACATACCAAGCGCAGAAGATATAGACGTGGCCGTCAAAAGTGCCATCGAGGACTACATACCCGGCGCAAAACACAGAATACCCGATCGAACGAATAAAAGAGAACAGAAGCGGCCAGAGGTTCAGCAATCAAATGACCCCAAAAAGAAGAAGAAGCCGCTTGAGTACATGTCCATCTCAGTCCCTGCCAAGGAGGTTAATGTAGCAATCGAGTCGGCCTTCAAAGGTGTTGATCCACAGACTCAACGATTTTACAAGCAACTCCAACAAACCCGGCGTATCCAGGCCCTTTTCCACGTCACTCTCATGCATAGGGTCACCGCGAAACAGCATCCTGAACTATGGCAACGCTATACTACCCTCGAAGCCGAGAGCCAGTCCACAGACGGAAAGGTCGGCGAGTGCGAAGTCATACTGGAGCGTGTAGTATTCGACGACCGCATAATGGCTATTGTGGTACGGCTGCTGGATCAAGAGGACAAATGGACTTGTGTCAACAAGGTGGCGCACATCACGGTGGGTACACGAGATGATAGCGTAAAACCTAAGGAGAGCAACGACCTCTTAGCACGATGGCTCGAAGTTGGAAGTGGAGGTGACACTGGCATCGGCGAGCGCATATTTGAGGGGAGGCCGACGTTAAAAGGAACAGTTCGTGGCGTACTATCCAGATAGAGCGCGGACGAACGGGCTAGAGCGAAATCCTCATCAGCGTTTCAGGGGAAGAGGAAGGGGAAACGGGAGCAAAAGGGGCGCAATAGATAGACAGTATCGATTGTATGAATATCACAATTTCCTTGTCCTCCCCCAAGCTGCAAGTTGCGGAAGCAAGATTACCATCCTATTGAGCTCGATGGGAACATTCTACGGCTATGTAAAGCTCTCAGACATGTTGACACTGCTATATGTCACTGAAATTATAGAAGAGTATTATGTCTGAGCTGGATTAATTGTGACCATAATATATTGTTCTAGAAATTCCTTCTCAACTTAGTGTCTTTATCAACTATCGCACTCTGAACTAATATCGCCGTGTAGAAAATCGTACATTAACGATTATACACATACGTAGCTGGGCTCATTTCACTTTTAAGCACCCCCATTCTTGAGTTGTTCGCTCCTCATAACAAGCCTGATCACTGCACATCAGTCGCGGATAAAGGGGAAAAAAAGGAGGAATCCTCAAGTTATTACGCTTTTGAAATCCCTAACACATATATTCGAGCACCGTCACCCCAGAAAAACGAATAGCTGAGCTCTAACCCCGTGGTCTCCGCGCAGACTCACTACAGTAAAAGATAGTGATCTATGCTAGCCAGCTTGCAACCTGAATAGCCTGAGTCGCAACACACAGTGTCACACACATACTAAAACTACACCACAGCGAAACATGTCATCTAGTCTCGATTGGTCTAGTGGTAAGGATACCTGCTTGTCAAGCACTAGACAATGGTCTAGTTTCCACGACGGTGGATATAGCAAGCCGCAGGTGGCCGGGGTTCGATTCCCCGATCGAGAGTTACTATCTTTCTTTTTCCGGTCTTGAATGAATTATTTATTTTCGTTTCTACCTCCTAGCTAGGTTTTTTTGCGAATATTTTTTTTTCCTCGATAGTGAAAAGCTGCTCTGCTTAATCAGCTATACGCTTCATGGTTGAGATTTCCATGAGCCGTAGTATTCTAATAGGTGTTGAGCTCTGCGGAAGTGTTGCTGATGTGCAGTTAATTCATGCAGGGGAAAATGTAGAGCTATGTAAAGATGTTACAATCGTATGTATCTATCTACCATATTTAAGAGCAAGGAGGTCCCGCCCCAGTAGACTAGATAAACCATCCTCGAGGTTGTAATTTTAGAAGACATGCTGACTCCATGTAATGAAACAAGAAAAATAGGTATCCAATACTAGCAAGCATATAGATGCTGCTGTTCTTCTATAGTTTTCGTAAGCCGATAAATCCTTTGAATATCTCATCGGCAGCTTATTGACATAATCGTCCATTTTTCGGGATTTTATTTTAATGGCCATTATTATATAGGTAGAGCATTCGTAACATCGGCGAAAGCGCTCCATTGTTTCCATGCCTCGCCACTCTTGATTGTCCATCTTGCTCTCCTAACGCCCTCCTTCCAGCGTCCATTGCCAGGGCCCCTCTCCGTAATGACTTTGCCATCGTCATCGGGACCCATGGCGCTAGTGTCAGCCTCGCAGATACCTGACACGACAAATAGGGCGGCCGTGTTCATGAGCACGAATTCGAGTATGGGGTCATCATCGGGTAGTTCGCCCTGCAAGATCTTACGCAGGATTTCTGCGTTTTCATGGGGTTCTTTGCCAGGCGATACCGTGCTGAGCGGGTGCGCACTGAGCCCGAAGTGCTTCGGCTCGAGGAGGAAATGCTCGACCTCCACGTTATTATCGCTGCCGCGTTCCACTAGCTGCCAGCACAGAGTAGGTCCGGCGCATGAAACCTCATCAAGTTGCTCTTGGCCGCAGACCACTAAACCTTTCTTCGCACCGGCTAACCGTAAAGCCTCCGCGAAGACGGGGCCTAGATTGTCGCGCGCAACACCTAGCATACGTGCTTCGATGGCGTCGTTGAGAGGATTACTCAAAGGACCAAGGAGATTGAAGATGGTGCGCCATCCTAGCTCCTTGCGGATAGAAGCGACATGCTTCATACCTGGGTGGAAGACAGGCGCGAATAGGAAGGTGTAATTGGTAGACTGGTAGACGGTGGGGATAGTGTGAGGCGTGATGCGAGCGAGCTGGGCAGGCGTTGGTTGCATGTTCATGAGCAGGTCAGCTGAGCCGGATTTGGAGGTCGACGCGCGGTTCCCATGCTTCGCGAGGAGTAGTAAGGATGAGGCGAGGATGGAAGATGTGGTGGAGATGTTGAAGGTGTGGTGGGAGTCGCCTCCTGTACCGACAATGTCACACTGCGAAATATATCAATATTGATAAGTCTTTTAGGTTTCTATCCAGAGCTTTGGCGGGCTCTTCGTTCTTACTATCGGGACACTTCGGAAGAACACTCACCAGTCCACCCAGATACTTTCCCTCCGGCCGTCTTCCCTTTGCTATGGCGTTCTCTACGCGCTTGAAGTCAATTTTTGACGCATGACGGCGCATAGCAGCCGAGGCCTCAGCCAAGACATCAGCACGACAGTCCCAGCCCGTAAAATGCAGGGCTGTCAGAAGCGAGCCCGTTTGAACAGGGCTTAGCTTATTGACGAAGATCAGCGAGATGGCCTCCGCGATCTCGTGAGCCGTGACTTTCTCCTTTTCGGGGTCCGGCCATAGACGCTGGAGTAGGGGACGGATATCGACAAAAGCTCGCTCGTTTTCTATCGTAGCGGCCATATTGTTTTGAAAGCTGCCGAATTCGGAGATCGGAGAGAATGTTGCCAGTGAATTGGTTCAATTTCTTGTAAGTTGTCGCTGACTTGCGACCAAGGTCTCGAGCTAGGAAAATATAAAATGAAAGTTGGGAATAACCATAACAATACCGAGAATAACTCAATTGGCCTTCTATCTCCGCAATGTAACCCTCAGATTCCTCATTCCCAGCAACCATGGAAGTGACTCAGGTGGTAAGAGAGCAACCCCAAGCTGTCGTCAGACCAGTGGTCTTGCTGCCCCGCCATCCATCATAATCATTTCATTCCAATGCTAATACCTACCTAGGTAGTCTAGGTGGAACATGGAGGGGCAACGGCAGGGACAGGGACAGGGGCTGTTGAGAACCGGGCAAGGATCCTTATCGTACTTATCATCCAAGGCGGTGAAATGCGGCAGACTTACAATGCGCCGGGCATTGGGCAGAGACTGGGGATTGAAACCTCCGATCTCCGATGCGCCTGCCCGGTCTCGAGCCTGGCCTATCCTAGTCTAGTCCACCATAACGATCCAATTATTTTCATCCAAGCTTTTTGCGACGGCGGTTTAGTCGTAGTCTGAAGGAGAGTAACGACCGACACTCTCACCAATTTAACGACGACGACGACGACGACGACGACACCAGGGTTGAGGAGAGGAGGTCTAAAATAAAAGAGGAAAGGCTCAAGAGGGAACTGGAGAGCTACCTATTATGCCACCGCGGCTCAGTTGCACTGCGCGCAGCAGCGTAGGGCGGGCTCTACAGCGAACGACGACGACAAGCTCGACGAGAATACCGACCCTCGTTGTAGTTCAGAAAGCAACACGGGTTGCTTCAAGGCAATATGCGACGGCGGGCTCCCCATTGTCTCTCGGCACTCTGAGATTACCAGACGACTATATCCCTCCAACCCAACCTCCAAGTGCTCGGCGGCCCGAGCTGAGAAAGGCCCAGCTCCTTCGCTCATATACGGCGATGCTACGATCGACACCTTTAATGCTCTTCTTCCAACATAACAACCTTACTGCCGTGGAATGGGCCGCCGTGCGGCGAGAGATGCGTGCCTCCCTGGCACAGGTCCCGTCCCCCGTGGCTGGACCTGATGGCATCGCCCCCATTGATATTACATCTAGCATTGAGCTGCAGGTGCTGCGCACGAGTATATTCAACGTCGCCTGCAAAACCGTAGACTACTTCAAACCTGAGGCCCTGGCCGGCAACTCGAAAACATACACACATGATCTGTCCAAGGCAGCCTACGAGTCGATCAAGGGTGCGACCATCGACGAGACGTCTACCTACGGCCAGATCAACCCCCTATTAATAGGGCCTGTTGCTGCCGTGACCTTCCCTTCCGTGTCACCAGCACACTTAGCAGCTGTTCTCAGGATTCTTTCACCGTCCCCTCCCGCATTCCCTGCTCCCACGCGGAAGAAGAGCCCTGGATACCACGATCCTATCGCTCAGAGCGGGTTTCAAAAGCTGATCCTTGTCGGAGGCAGAATAGAGGGCAAGGCCTTTGACAATGACGGAGTCAAATGGGTTGGTGGCGTCGAAGGCGGTCTCGATGGACTCCGGGCACAACTCGTTTCTCTGTTACACCACGCCGGCCTTGGTATCACGACAGCTTTGGAGGGCCACAGCAAAGGGTTGTGGTTGGCTCTGGAGGGTAGACGAACGCAGCTGGAGGAAGAAGCCAACGGGGGCAAGAAGGAAGGCGAGGCAGGAAACGAGACCACTGCGTAGAAGACGTGCACTATTCATCCGTACATGCTAGAGAGCGATGTATAACAGTGTATCTAGAACAAATAATGTACAAGAATGGATCCCATAGTGGAAGCTATACCGGTGTATCTACTCAAGCAATGCTTAGTAACAGGGCAGAAACTGGCCTGGCATGAACATGATAACGATCATTCCCAAAAAGCTGTCCCTCGTTACATAGATAGTACCCAGGTACTGGCACCTACTTGCACCCCGAGTATGTCGGTGTCGGTGTCGGTGTCGGTGTCGTGCGACCTAGACTCCGCATAATTTCCACCACTCCTGCTTCTTCCGGGTGCAACATGCGCTAAACTGGACCCTGCATATCACTAATTAAAATGACAGGCAGCAGCGCCCGTCGGTGATTGCACATACCTAGCGCATGTCGCATTCATTAGGTACCTACCTACCTAGGATAGCTAGAGCTGAGAGTTTGCGACCCTTCCAACGTCACCCTCTCACCATTCTCCTCCGCCACATGACCACCCATTTACAGCGGCAGCGAGCCATCACCGCATAGCTAGGGGGCTGCCTTTTCCACAGTCCTTCATTCCTTTCCCCCTAGAAAGCAACGCCCAATGAGCAGATAGCGAAAACCGGCCTCAGATCGAAGCTCGAGTCCCCTCCCCGCAACCAATACAGCTGACGAGACTCGGAGGAAGCTAGGCCCAAGGCAAGACAAGACCAGGCAAGGCAAGGCTTCGCGATGGATTTTGCGCCCTATCAGAGCTCACCCCCGGAGCACAGCCGCCCGTTCTCGCCGCCGGCTACGGACGGCGCCGGCTCGCCGCGCGCGTCGCTCGACCAGAGGCGGTCCTTCAGCCCGACGCAGCGCAACTTCGCCGCGTACTCCCCGCCGCCGCTACAACACCCGCAGCCGCAGCGCTCGTGGCACGCGGGATACGCCTCGGAGGAGGGCTTCGGTGGTGGTGTTGTAGATGGTGCTGCCGCGGGCACGGGAGGCATAGGGCTGGGCGGGAGCGCAGGGTTCGTCAGCGAGTTCGACACGAGCCTGGGCATCCGGCTCGACTACGAGGCTGTGCTGGCGTATATCGGGATACCCCCCCTCGGCGCCATCATACTGCTGATTCTGGAGAGGAAGAGCGATTATGTGAGGTAAGTAGGGTCGCGCATTCTCTTATCTGTAGACCGAGGGTGTAGCATCGCTCTGGACTTCACGCTTTTTGGCTTTCACATGTCCAGCATGAGGGGATGGGGTTTCGACGAGTCTGGAGAGGGCTATTCACATCCAAACGCCTGAGATCTCAAAGCTAACTTATATGCCTCTAGATTTCATGCCTGGCAGTCTAGCCTCGTCTTCACTGTCATGTTCGTCATTCACCTCCTGTTCTCCTGGTCGACCTTCCTAAGCTGGAT